CAGGTAATTTCATTAATGAATTATAACAATCATATGCATGGGAAAATAATAACACTTCATCATACACAACCTCTTTCTTAAAGAGCCAGACATAAGAATGCTTCCCAACTCATAACATGAAGCCATTTTAACTCAGAGACTAAAATCAGGCATGGACAATATAAGAAAAGAGTATTATAGCAAGAATGTCTCATGAAAGTGAATACAAAAATTCTTTATAAAATATTAGCAAATGAAATCCAGCAGTAAATAAAAAATGTCAATATATAGGTTTGGGTTTTCCAGGAATGCGAGGTTGGCTTACTGCAGGGCATTTTACCACATTACAAATCAAAAGAGAAAAGTAAAAATATTTGGAAAAACGATTCTCAATCTTAACTTCATATCATACAAAAAATCCAATTTAAGATGCTCATAAACCTGAGTGTAAAAATTTATAAATTTTGAGACTTAAAGAAAACATAAATATCTTCCTGACCTTTGAGAAGAAAGCTTCCTAAAAGAGCCATAAAAATAAGACTCACACAAAAGACAATTAACTTCATCAAAAAACGTTTCTCATTGGGGAAAAAAAAAAAAAAAAGCACATCATCCAAATATACAAAAAAAAAAAAAAAATCACAAGATGTATATCTGACAAAACAAAACAAAACAAATGTGTCCAAAATATTTTTAAAATTTTCTGCACTGGGAAGTAAATGTAAAAATACCAGCAACAATAACTTTTACCTTAAGACTCAATAATCCTACTGCTAGGTAGTTGTCCAAGAGAAACAAAAACATATGTACATGGCTGTGTTGGTGCATGCTTGTAATTCCAGTTACTTGGAAGCCTTGGGCAGAAGGATCTTATGTTTAAGGCTAACCTGAGCAACTCAGGGAGACACTATATTGAAATAAAAGGACTGAGGATGTACCTCAATGTTAGAGCACCTTTACATTCAATCATTAGTACTGCAAAATAATAATATGTGCACCAGAAACCTTTTACCAAGAATATTTATGTCTGCTTTATTCATAAGTACACAATTATAATTTCTTTCCATTTATTTACTTATTTGTCTATTCATCTACTTTGGGTACTGGGGATTAAGCCCAGGGCCTCATGCAATGATAAGTACGTGCTCTACTAACCCAGCTATCAAGCTACTAAACTCTGCAACTATCTGAATCTCAAATTATTCTGAGTGAAAGAATCTCAACATAATTTACATGTTGTATTATTACATTGAGATGATTTCTAAAATCATTAAAACTAATCTGTGCTGATCAATGATCTGCTTATATGTAAGTAGCATGGTGGTAGGGAAATGCAATTGTAGTGGGAAGGAGCAGAAAGTTTCCTTTCTGAGATGATCATTCCATATGTGTCTTCATATGCACTCTTCAAAACTGATTGAAAAGAATCCTTATGATCTGAGTGTTTCACTGAACATCACTTTTAACTCAGATCTTAACAAATTGACACTGAATGACTAAGTATTTGAACATTATATTTCACCATGTATTCAGAATAGGTTAAGAATATTACAAGAGAAACAGGAGGTTGAGTTATTTATGATAGTGAGTTCAGCAGAGAAACTGGACTCAGTAGGCCTGTTGAATGTGTCAGACTAGTGTGCCCACCTGTATTGGGACAGAACAGAGTAGTGAGTAAAGAACTTTAGGAAACTTCAGGAAAAAACAGCACAGCAGAGAGATTTGAGGAAAACATAACATTATCATTTTAATAAGCCTCCAATTCCAAATCTTCCTAAAAGGAATAAATCAGTTTTAACTGTAGAATGACATATTAAATATGCTGCTCTTTCAGTAGCTCCATATCCCTTGCCCCTCAAATTTCTTTCAATCACTTGCCAAAACCTAAGTTTCTATGAAATAAAAGGAAATAATTCTTTTGCTTCACAACTTCAAAATAAAGGGTTTAAAACTCTTACTACAAAATAAAGGACATAAAATGCAAATGTGTGGTTAAGATAATAGTTTAGGATAAAGGTGTTTTATTCCTGTATAATCAGTATATAACTGCAAATAATTAGGTACTGATCCTTCCCATTTCTGGTAATGTAGAAAGACAAGAAACAGTCCAATTCAACACACATTATTGAGCATGTAACATGCTAAATCAGTGGTTTTCAAGAAAGCTTTCATGACTCTGACCTTTAGTAAGAATTGTAATTTATATTGCAGCCTTGTATGAGTGTACATTTATGTAACTAAAGCATTGTTATAAAATCTGACATATTAATGCTAAATGAGATGCACTTTGATATTTTCTAGTCTAGTATGTTTTGTATCTACAAAAATGTGGATTGTGATACATAAGTTTCACTACCCACTAATAGATTGTGAATTATGGTTTGAAAAACACAATGCTGTTTTTTCAACTCAAAATGTAATCTGTGGACCAGCCACAGTAGCAGCAGTATCTGGGGGCATGTAAGAAACGGAGAACCTCAAGCAGCTCCTCTTACCTACTGAAGCAGAATCTCCCTTTAACAAAACCTCAGATGCTTCCTGGGACTTTTGTAGTGTTAGAAACCCTGTGCTGGACAACATGAGGAGAAGGCTTGGAACGAATGGAGTCTTGTTGGTATTGCTTAAGACACAGATTATCACTAAGGGACTGCTCGCTTTTTAGAATGTGCATATCCAAGTCCCAAACTTCAGTATTTCAGTTAATTCAGTATTTCCAAGAATATTACAAGACATTTATGTTAAATAAATAAATAAATCTGCCAGAACTCTTAGCTCCAGTTCTAATAACCATTGGTCCACAAGATTAAATGAAAGCTGGGCACTTTTTTAATTGCTTGTGCTTTATAAACATGAAAATCTGTGCTTCAGGTAATATGGAAAGATTTTACTATAGTTTTCATTGAGGATGACTTCATATAAAGACATTTAATTCCCAAAATATTTATTGATGGGGCTATTGCTATAGCTTCCTCTGGATTTACTTCTCCTTACGAGAAAATTTCTAAACATCCCTGTTCTTCCAATAACTGCCCTTTTATAGAAATGTAATGTGACTTTGGGTAGAAATATTATTATTAGCCCTCCTGAGTTAGCAAAATTCATCCCTGGATTACTTCCAGTAGATCTCGAACCAAGGATCTCAGTGCTAAACAAAATGGGACTGCTCTAAGCAGCCCTCGCTGGTCATTAAGGACCTTCCCATTGCGTTAGTGTTTCCTGAGTGATGGGAAGTTTTAACCTGGAAGTTGCTAATCTTGCTAACACTAAAAAGCTCTCTCCCATTAGCAGCTTCTGTGTTGCATTAATAATAAGAAAGTAATAAAGAATCCAGCCTCAGCTGTTCAGGCTCCCCTGAGGTACGGCCTCAGCTTCCTTCTTATCCCAATGGTCCACTCTAATGGTCTTCCCTGTATTAGAGTAATAGAGTGGATAATAAGACAATTGTTCTCTGTTCTATCAGAGTCTAAAATCCTTTCTTCTTTGGGGGGAAAAACACTTTTTTTTAAAGTCCCCCAAATTCAAAATTATGCCATCAGTATTTTTGCAATTATAGTTGACCTATTAAATTTGTAATTTTAACACAAATTAAGGGGTTGTCAAGCACAGAGAAACTAAAGTAATATAACTTCAGATCCTCAGGCACACAAAAAAATATATTGTTTTAGAAGACAATAATTCTTCCCACCTCTCCTGAAAGAGCTACAAAACAGAAATCTCTCCTTGAGATTTGTGTCTCATTTATATATTTATTTTTATTTATTTATTTTGGTATAACAAATCAGTCATCTGCATGGTAATAAATTAAAATTAAGAAGTGCAGTTCTTTGTTTTTATAAATATTAAAAATCCTGTTAATAAACAAAAAAGAAATGAAAAAATGAAGTGTAAAAATAACATTGAATTTGACAAGCTCAGGGTGCATATTTTAAATTATTTGTTAAAAATGTTTTATTAGAGTTCATAAAGACAGGAATTTCTCATATTTTTTTTTCTTGAAGATATGTGATCTTTGCAGAAGTGCACTTTTTAAAGCCCTCTTAGATTTTAAACATATGTTTTAAAGCATGCAATCTGTCCATGAAATCTGATTATCTTTGTAGTAGTTAGATAGTTGTGATTTTTCACTTGCAAGTAAAGCTACTTTTTCTTTTAATAACATGTCTTTTAATTGGTAAACAATAGTCTATCACCTCAAAAGTCCAGCTTATTCCTCCCTATTTAAAATACTAGAAATTTTTTATCAGTTGATATCATCCTGTCATGATTTTTGAAAGGTGCATTTTGTAATTAGGTTACATTTTGCCTATTTTTATACCTGTAATTCTGGGGATGGCAAGGGCCAGTATAAATGATCATCACCAGTGACTAAATATATATATTTTAAATAAAATTTATGTCCAAAACTCTAAGAGTAAATCACTATGATTTGCCCTGTCCAATTTTTATGTAAGATTCAAGAAATGACAGTAAAACGAGAGCTGTTTTCTAAAGACTTATAATCAACATATTTTCCCCACAAGTACTTAGCAGTTTGAGGAGGGGAAAGTGGACATATCTAATAAGACATGACTACCTATATAATATTTTAAAAATTATACATGAAAACCTTTGAATGAAAAATGTCTATAATTTAGCAATAAGAGATAATTCAATAGTTTTCATAAACTAGACGCTAGATTTTTCTTCTACGGAGATAACAGTCTAAATCATTTTTCATTAAATAGCTCTTTCATATATTCTATTTGCTAGCTGAGCAATTTTTATAAATCCAGTAAACATACTTTTTAGTTACTTTATTTTGCTTTTCAGAAGAAGTGTTGACTACATTCCAATCTGTAGCAAAGTGTTGCTAGAGTTACCCTTAAAGGGGAAGAAAACGGTTGAGAATGATGTTCCTATAAAGCCCTGGTAGCAGACAGGTCCATTGGAAATTAACAGCTTTATCAGAGAACTGTGCCAACATTGTTGATTGTATGCACACTTATCTGCATTTCCTTTGTTTACTTTTTTCTGTCCTACAGTCCATGAGGGCTCTGGAGAAACCAGTCAGAAGGAGACATCTACCTGTGATATTTGCCAGTTTGGCGCAGAATGTGATGAGGATGCTGAGGATGTCTGGTAAGATGCTGTTTTCAGTCTTAAACAAAATAATGATAGCAATTATTATTTTTTTATTCCATAAACTATTCCCCAAAAGAAGACATTGTTGGTATTTTCTTTTCTTTGGGGTTCCTGAGGAGGGTAAAAAGTAGCAAGGAATTTCTGGAACTGAATTAAGAGGTAGGCCAGCTGGGAAGCTATCCAGGGCATTACCTGATAAGGCACACTAAAATATCACTGATTCCCCCTTCTAACGTTTGGCAATGTTAAGATATAATAGGGAAAATCATATTTACAGGAATATCTCTCAGGAAACACCATCGAGAAACAATGTCAGATTGCTGTCTAACTCTGACCAAGTTGCTATAATAAAATACCATAAACTGGATAGCCGAGAAACAGAAACTAATTTCACACCATTCTAGAGACTGATAATTCCAAAATTAACGCTTCAAGCAAAAGTTGGTGAGGACCCATTTTCTTATAGACAGCCTTCTTCTCACTGTACCTACCAAGGCGGAAGAAGCACAAGATGACTCTGGGCCTTCAATAAAGGTACTAACATGAAGGTTCACCAAAGACTCTACCTCCTGACACCCGGGCCTTCAAGGGAGGAGGATTCAGCATGTTCACTGACAACACACACTCTGACCACAGCAGTGCTAATATGATTTCTGAGATGGTAAGGTCTGATAACCACAGATATTTGATTTAGGGAATGTGCAGGTGCACATTCATAACTGAATTGGGAAGACACTTAATAAAAAATGACCACTGGCCTTCTCTGTAGGATCAACTTCTCTTTTCCTCCAAGTAATACTTAGCTTCCCTTATAATGATATGGAGAACATATAATCAATAATATTCATTATTTTGAGTGGGTGTCAAAATTTTAGCTTTCTGTAACATCCAGGTGTATTGGCCCTGGCCTGATCTTATAGCAAAGAGAACGACCAAAAGATGAGAGTGAGTTTTTTGTGTCTTCATAGTGAAAAGAGAGAGTTAGTCTCTCTTTCGTCTCCTCCTCTTTCCCACCCCCCAACCCGCTACCACACACTCTCTTACTTACATCCCACAATGTTCATACAAAACAGTTGGTTGCTCTTGTTTTGTCAATATGTATTTTCCTAGAGCAGTTAACAGGCATTTAATCAAACTTTTGTGAGTGGAAGGAGAAATTTATCTAAGGGAAATGAAAACAACAACAACAACAAAAATGAAGGCAAGGTAATTTGGACAAGAGGGAAACAATCAAGTTACATTTTTAATGCAAAGTAATATGAAGATTCCATCTGAATAAACTGGGATACTTGTATGTAAGCACTGCCATGTAATAAATAGCCAGGTGTTACAACCTTCTATTGATGAAAGCAGATAATGGTAGCATTTCCCTTTCTGTTGACACTTCTTGCCAATGGGCAGGTAGGAGTGGAGTCAGAGTCTACATTCACTGCATGACAATATTGCCATGGACAGATGTACATTTACTGCAGAACATCCTGAGCATCAAGTGGTTGGTGGGTTCATGGTTCCAAAATGTAACAGATCATAAAAATTCCTTTAGGAATTTTTTTAACATACCAGTTCTTTAATGCTACCTCAAACTTAATGACTCAGAATTTCAGATATCAACTTAAAATGTTATTTTTCTAAAACTTCTCAAATGATTATAGAAACACTGCTCTAAAATAAATGACTGATCCAAAGAATCTCTGAAAGCATCAGGAGTTCCACGTCAAATTTCAAGCTGTTAACTTTCTTGCTGTAAATTATTTTGCTTTAAAAACACAAATATGAGTTAGTCATTGCCTAAAGAATTTCTTCCATTCTTCTCTTTTCTCATCATTTTAATGATCGTTTCCACTTTCTAAGTACAAAGATTTAAGACATGAGATTACAATATCAGCTAAAAGTTATTGATTTCTTACCATGTGTTTCATTATTTTTACACATTTTTTTCTTGGATTTCTTCAAATAATCGTAGTAAGTATATTCTATTATTATTTTGCTGTTCAAAGAATAGAACAGGTCTTGAGTTGTCTAAATGATGGGGCCAAGATGAAATATAAGTTGAAAGTAACCAGAAGGTGTTAGCTTGACAATTCACCCAAAGATACAATTAAAAGAGTATTTCTTTCCTGTGGTGGCTGGAATAGTGACATGGCCAGATTGCAGGCAGTGTATTCACAGTAACACTCAGGACCTGCAGATTAGAGCCAGTGACTAGAGAGATGCTTACTGCAGGCAGTGGGAAACCATCCAAGCAAGCAGAGTGTCGTTTCTGATATCTTGCAAAAGTTCAGATCTAAGGTATGAAGGTAGTTCATGGAGATATGGACTAAGCTAGTAGCATCAGAAAAGTTCAACAGTTGACTATAGGGCCCAACTATGGCAACTGGAGTTCAGAAAAAGCAGCCTAGTGATAAACAATGGTAAATGAGAAGAACAAGACAGACCTCAGTCATGGAGGAATTAGGTACCCAACAGGAAAGCAAATCAGAGACTGAAACTGGAAAGACTAGGTAGATATTCATTTAGTGGAAGTGGTATAGAAAGCCAAGTCTTGGTTACCAGAGGTAGGGAGATTCATAGCCTAAATCTGGGAAGTCAGTTACAAGGTAAAAATGAAACCAGCAGCAAGGCTCACTGGTTGCTAAGTCAGTTAGCTTTTGGCTAGGATATCTTGCATGTCCCCAGCCTAGGGACAAGATTAGTTCTAAAAATTGGAGTAAATTTGAACCTCCAGATGGGGGCTAAGTGACCATAGCTGTGAAGATTAGAGGGCTGCAGGGGCAGGGAGCCAACAAGGTCATTGTACTTCCCAGGCAAGAATGAAAAGTTGTTAGCATTTAAATAAAATGTATTTAAAATATCCAATGTAAGCAATAAAGAACAGTGCTGAGGTGATGAGTGCATTGATTTTCATTTACATAAATATCTTTGTATGTTAGCATATTATATTTAGTTATGACCATGAAGGGCAGATTAGAAACAGCTGAAGGACATAGGAATAAAACAATAAATGAATTTAAATAAGCATGGAATGAAAGAGGCTATAAAGTAAGATAGGAGGGTGATCTGACTTACAGTACTAATCAATAGAACTTCCTTGGGCTCAAATACACTGTTGATTTTGAATGAGACCACAGCAGATTCTCTTGCAAACATAAAATACTGCATACGCCATCTGGCCACAGAGAATGAAACTCAGTGTTTTGTTTTATCTTATCTTTGATATCAACTTAACTATGATTTTATGCAAATAAATTTCTTCTATCCTACATAAAGAAGTAATAATGAGATATAAAGAAATAGTAATAATACTGTTATCATGTCTACAATGCATATACAAAGGTGAAAAAAATAATTCTTGATCTTTCTTTAACCCTGGGGTAAGAAATTAATATTTTACATTTTGCCACAAGAGCTAAGTCTGGTTACTCAGAATTACCCAAGTACTTCTGGAGTGAAGATAAATATTTGTTAGAATTAAAAAGCCAGTTTGCTGTCATCTGATCAGCCTTCCTAGTTAGATGAGTTTTTGAATTTAGGAGCAAGGCACACTGGAGAGTGAGAAGAAATGAAATAATCACAAAGGGGAGAAAGAAAGTTGAAGAAGAAGAATTAGGGGTTGGCATTGATAAACCAGGATACTAGTGACCTAACATTTAATGCTTTTATTTTGAGAAAACAGATGGCTTATAATCTAATCTAAGACCCAGTTTTTTGTCTGGCGATTTCATTGCAAGGTTCTCTCTTGCCTTTTTCTTCCTATGGGAAGATCAAGGCTTATACAAATCAGAAAATGTTCAGGTTTTCCTAAGAGGAAAGACAACAGACTATTACAAAAAAAAACTCTTTAGTTATAGATATTTACCTAAATGTTGAAAAAAAATCAAGTTTCCAAAAGAGAGTTAAAATTCAGCAAGATACCACCATATGAAATACCAGAGCATCCTTTATTTAAGACAGACTTCAAAAGCAATTGAAACACCTGTGTAAAGGATGTGCATGACTGTTTTCTGAGGAAGGGGTTAAGGGAAGGAAAAAGGAAGGACTTGAAAAATTGCTTCTCCTTCTATCTAGCCTGAAATGAGTCAACACTAATGCATTTATACATCAAAGAGATTCTCAAATACATCCTTCCAACTAAATTTATAAAGAAATAGAATGTCTTATAAATAAGACAAACATAATAACATTGGTTCATTGTAAAATAGTAAAATCCTATCTGATAGCACTGGGAATACTAAGTTATGATTTCAACAAATATTCCAGATACTAGGTTCATTTTAGAAACAGCTTTATATTCCTTTAATTATCTTACCTGATAAATTATCTCTGTAAGTCTAAAGTAGGTCAGTAGTTAACTCTTTGTACTGGGAACTATTTCTTAGAAGTAATTAGCCTGGAATTTTCTATTGGTCCTGTCAGTCAGAAGTAGTTCAGAGCCCTGGGGTTGATACTTGATTTAATATATTTTTAAAAGCAAGCTGATAGCTGAGTCTGATCATAGAAATGGCTGGGTCTGAAATTGGCGGTGTGCCTAATATTTCCAGGGCATCAGAAGAGATCAAGGCAGGGGGCACAGGTGTAAGAGCAGATGCAGCCGGATGACAAATGATATAAAGGAACAACTTAAATAAGTATGTGTATTTGCTTTCTATGCATCTTTTATAGTTCTTTATCCTTGTTTTAACTTTGCTTTTGTAATATTCTCACATGCCACTCAAATTCCATTAGCAAAATCATATTGGCTTACATGCTATTAATTTTGCAGCAATCATTAATTTTGACTCTGAAAGCATTAATAATGTTTTCCAGTAGTGTAGTTCTGTTCCACAAGTGTATAACATCCTTGTGATCAACTGCAGTGGTAAGAAAGGAGAGAAGCAAGGTAGAGGAAATAAAAGAAGTTCACAAGACAGTAAGCGTCTATTTTTTTTTTTCTCTCACTTTTCTTAAGGGAAAGAGTGCAGTATCTGGCATTTCTTTTGTGAGTGTCTCTTACAAAGACA